AGTTGGTGCCCTTCCTTTTGCCCCAGGACCTCACAAGATGAAAAGCACATTTTCAAGTCTTAAGTCTCCAGCCTCTCCTCCTGACTCAGCCAAAGGGCTCTCACTGGGAGGTGCTCCCCATGGTACTGGAATCTAAATAATCCCTCTGAACTGCTTTCTGACAAAATCAGGAAACCAGATTCTTCTCCAGCACGCACACACACCTGGAGGATTGGGAGCAGAGGTTTTGAGGGATGACAAAGTGCTGCTCTGTCAATAAGAAACACTACGAATAGAATTCCCTGTGCTCTTGTGGGGCTGTCAGGTGTTTCTTGTCCTTTCCTATGACTCTTACAATAGACTTCTGCTGGAGGAATGCACCTGGCTCTCTAGACTGCCATCCACAGACCAGCCAATGCATATGCACACACCTGCCTCAAACGTGACAAGAATGAGGCATGCCATCTATTGCCAAAGGTTTATTCAGTACCAGAATTACTGAAACTTCCTTAAGATATGCAGGAGCACTTCCAGATTGCAAAATGAAAATCTCTGCCTGGAATCTCTGCATTCAAAGTAGGGAAATATCCCTTTAAAAAATCCGTTGGCAATATTACTAAAGGCCCAAAGGCCAAGTTGATCTTCAACATAACTCCAATGAGTAAGAGAAATACACCAGGGATAAAGTTTGGCCTGGTAGTGAAAACCACAGGCAAGTCAGAAGGATTTTCAGAATCAAGCTGACCCAAAAATGCAGTTAAATTTTGCCCTTGAAGGAATAATTTTCCTAACAATAATGGATAAAAAGAAATGCTCATCAAAATCATTGCAAGTAAATGAGGATGAGATGATCAGCCTCATATGAGTTACTTCCTTCAGCAGCAGTATTTCTGCTTCATCCCTTAGCCTTTCTTCTTTCTTCAATTCTAAATCTCATAACATTCCTGTTGACTCTTCTAGATTTACCACCTGCTTTGTTCAGTCTTGGCTTGCTAGAGCCACAGACAATGTATTATGGGTGCTAATCCCAAGTTTACCACTGAGTTGCTGTGGGTTTTTGTGACTTTTCTGGGCCAGCATCCTCCGACTCCATCTCCTCCAGTGTATCAATACATTAACTGCTCCCCATGTAATGCTAAAAGTTAGTATGTGTCATTATCTCCAAGGCCTGTAGTCCTCAGATTAAGGCCTTGCAAGTATTCACGAGCAACAATGCCTGTTAGCACAAAGACAAAACTGACACAGAAGGCTGTGCCTGAACATGGGACTTGCTTCCCGAGAGAGGAGGATGAATGACCACAGAATTAATCTCTTTCAAAGCTCTGTCCAAAACTCATTTGTTGTGTTTAACTTGTTCTCAGCAAGTCCTAAACACACGCTCGGAAACAAAGAGTGGAAAACCCAACTGCAGTTGTTCACAAAAACAAACAAAACCAAAACAAGAGCAACTTGCCAGTGTGCTATAAAATCACTTCCAAAAAGCCCTCTATAAAATAATGGAGTTATTTCACTTGAAGCACTGAAAAGGGAAAAATAAATAAATAGAAAGGACGGATGGTATTTTTTGGATATTTATCAGGTTGGGAGGCATTACCAAGAACTCCCAGACTTTTTCATTGGCTTCCTCATCCTCTCACACATTCAGTGAGGCATCAGCCTTCCTGAATTATATTCTTCTTATTCACTTATGTAGTTCTCAGTCCTGGAATTCATTGCTGTAAGGAGACTAGAAACTTCCTCCCAAGCCCCAGCACTTCAGGGATCCCTGGCTATCGCTCCCTCAGCTCTATGTTTATCTCATGTTTGGCAAAGCACATCTTGATCTAAATCAGGCCTCCCAGGAGGGCAGCCAGCTTGGATTTGAAGGCATCAGGAAATATGAATCCTAGCTTGACCCTGGAATTCATCCCAAAGATTAAACGTCTTCACTGATAAAGGGCATGCCACTTTCTTACTTCAAATTACTGAGCTGTGGTGTGCTTGTCATTACCCCTTCCTGCAGCTAAAGACATCTTTTCTACCAACATCTCTTCCTCAAAGAAAGTGTCATCTGTGTCATCACTCCCCACTTTGTTTTTTGGGGTAAATTTAGCAGATTGAACTCTTCAGGTTTTCAACTTCCTTTTTAAAATGCAGAGAACAACACTAAGGGGGAAAATATTTGTCTGATTAATATTGTGAATGAAAACAGCACTGTCCCTACTGCTTTTGGGAGCTCTGCTGTTCATCCATCCATCCAGAGATCCTGGGAAGCCCCTTAGAAACAGCATTGCACTGGAAACACAAGTTAGGCTGCTTGTCTGATCCCATTATCCTTTCCCAAATCCCAGCTTTGCTTTCCAAGATGCGGGTTGTCCATCTGCATGGGTCAGCCTCATCCTCTGCTCCTCTGCATGGTGTCATCATGCAGCCCAGTGACCTGGATCTCTCCATCAGCTGCTGTTCTACTTGCCCGGTGTCACCTGCAGGTTTTGGCAGCCCTTGTTGCAGATCGCCTTTCAGATCGGTGATACAAGCACTGAAAATTACTGGATGCCCTATCAGTTCTCTGGAGACGTGCCCTGAGTGCCTCCCTAGGGGCTGCTTATGTGGAAGACCTTTAATCTGACATCCCTAAGCCATGTGAAGTGCATGTTATTGATGTCGTTTACTCTTATTTGTTATGAGAATCTGCTAAGTCAACCACCTTGCCAAAACAATCACATCCACAGAGCTATTTTTCCCAAGCCAACTTTTAACCTCTGCAAAGACTGTAATTAGATTTGTTTGAAAATCTTGATTTGGATGTGAAAAGGCTGAGTCAACAGTCACGAATAATAGTCACAGCTTTTAGCTCCACTCAGATCAGTTCCCCAGCAGCTTCACCACCATGTCCACAAGCAGTTTCATCTTATTGTGTCACACATCTTTGATTTAAAGCCTTGTTGTTCCCTCGCAATGTGGAAGTTGCTGTGCTCCACTCTACCATCATGAGCCAGGTAATGCTTTGCAATGGGTTGAAATGACCCAGCATGGTGCAGCTGCTGTTTACATGTGGAGGTGGGGGAGGTCTGCACTAGGAATAGCATGGGAATTTTTTTTTTCCTTTCTTTAGCCTCTTTTACCCCTTGTTAAGCACTTTCAGACCCAGCCTCAGGCTTGATTTATTTTTGAAAGGCCATTTATAGCCGCCGTGTCTTAAAAAGAGTAAAAAAAAAAAAAAAAAAAAAAAAAAAAAGAGGCCACTGATCTTATTTTTAAAGAAGGAACCACACACATGCAGGCTCTGTCAGTTTGCTCACATCTTGGTCCCCCACAGGATCCTCAGATCCTCCCCACTGTGTCTGCAGCACAGAGCTCCACTCCCCTTACTTTGCACCTGGCAGTGCAGGGTGATGGCTTCCTTCTTCCTAGGCTGGAGCACACAGAGCACTCCACTAACAGAGTAGGGAGCAACTCACTTTGGTGTAACCCCCCCTGAACTTACAACTTGTTGCAGCCCTTGGTTAACTACATCTGTAATGAGTGCTGGAGAAATGGTTCTTAAACAACTATCTGCACCCAAGCACCCCAACTTTCTTCTTGGCTCGGGTTTGATGCTTGTTGATCTTAATTTTCCTTTCCAGATGTTCTGGTAATGCAGGGCTTTAAATCAGCAGCCTCTCCTCTTGAATTTGCAAGTTTACTGAGCTGTTTGGTTAAGGGACCAGACAGAGGCATACATCAACAGGAGGGGATATGGTGTGTTTGTGGATAAAGCACCGAGTTCCAAATCAGGAAATTAGAATTGACTGCAAGAGTCCAACCCACAACGCTCAGTTCTGCATCTTCTTCTGCACCACGTTCCAGCTCCCCAGCTTATCCCAGAGCTGGAAACCCTGAAATGATGGCATCCCCCTTCTGTGAGCTGCTGTGTGCACTGAGCCGCAGCTATCTGCAAGGAGAGAAATAACAAATTCCATCCCAGCTGAACAGCACCACAAACGATGTGCAATATCTGATTCCCAGATGGCAATGTTAAAAACAGAAGGCAACATGTCTGGGAAAGTACCTGGGGCATACCTGAACAATAGGAATAATAGAGATGTAAGAAGAAGATAGATCCTTTCTTTTTTCTGATGTATGCATGCTTTGTGATCACTCAGGAAACAAACAAACACCTTTTTTTTTTGTTTTGTTTTGTTTTGTTTTGTTTTTGTCAAGCAGGAAACAGCCTGAATAAGTAGAAACACTGTCAGAGGGCTAGAATAAGAGAACTGAAATAAGTGAAAGGTTGGTAGTACGATCAGTGTGCCAGGCTTGTCTGCTCCAACGTCTGTTTTGTGCATCACGTGAGCACGTAATTCCTTGGAATCCTTTGCTATTTATTTGGATTCCAGCAGACTGAGTACATACCCACCTCACCAGTGACTTGGAAGATTATCCTTAAGGAACAGCCTCCCCCTGCTAGGCTGCTTGCACAATGCGGTAACGTAGAGGGCTCGGGATGGGTATTATGCATATGTTTATTCTAGGTCCCTCTGGGAAAAGGCTTAAAGGACTAAGTTCAGGAAGAAGTGGTGGCCTTTTCTCAGATGGTCCAGCAGCTGAATGCCCTTCAGAATTGTGAAGAAGTCAGAGAGTGTGTTCTGAGCTATATCAGTGGGATGGAGCTACCACCCTGGTGAGCAGCAGGCAGCTCCATGCACGCACACCAGCTCCTGCCTCTCCAGTCTCACCCTGCCTGCATTTGTTCCTCCTTTGCCTGATGGCACATCTCCCCCACACAATGGCATGTAAAATCTAATCTCTACTGAAAGCTCTGCAGGGCAGGAACTCACACATTCAGATCTAAATAGGCTACTCATGCCTTTTTAATTTCACTGGATCAGAATAACAACAGCAAGGAAATAAAGTAACAGCCAAGGATTCAAGTCAGTGCGGTGAAACAGGTCCTTTCCCCATCTTGCAATCTGCATCTACACCGCCCTAATGGTAGCGGGAAGTCTTCTAGTCACTACCAGTAAATGTTTTCTTAGAATCATAGAATTATTAAGGTTGGAAAAGACCTCTAAGATCACCAAGACCAACTGTACACCTGCCACCTGTATTGTTCACACTCCTTTCTAGCATCCCAGAAAGTACTTGTCCACCACAGAACACCCAGCGATGTCCATTGATTCCTAAAGGTGCAAGGACAAACACCACCCTGAAAAGGGTACGAGGGGGCTGGAGAGCCCCTCATGGGCTGGGAAGAGCAAGGCTGGGTTGGTGCTCTCCCACGCACACCTGCACCCCAGGTTGGTACAACGCTGATCTCCCCAGCCATCAATCCTGCTGCTCCCTGGATGACAGCTCTTGCACAAGAGCCGTGCCATTACATAAAGCTCGGGCTCTTTGCAACTTCCCGCCCAGCGCACACCCGCCGTGTGTTAATCAGGATGGTTCACAGTCAGTCCTGGAGTAAACAAATGCAACTTCACCAGAAATCGCAGCAGCCACACCTCTTCACTCCAGGTGTGCGTTTTGGCCCACTGTCTGTTTCACCATAGTGATTAGGGATCGGTATTTAAGGCAGTTTCTTAACAGGACTTGGGATCGGTGCTTTATCTCCTCGTTAGCTTGGTAATGTCATTAATTAAGGTTATGTCAACGGACATGATGCCACAGTAGATGGGTGTTATCAGTGGCAACAGCCTTCCAGGGTTTGTGTTCACAGCCTGCCTACTGTGATGCACCGATTAGCGTCTCTGCCATCACAGTGTTTTGAGGCAGGCTCTAGAACCCCCTAAAAGCCCCTGTGCTCTTTCCCAGCTGATGAACCTGCTCAGAGTGGAGAACAAGGAGCACATGCATGCCCAAAGATGCAGGTCACTACGCCTGCCTCGCCACCAGCTTGCTTGGTAAGGCAGTGAGTTGTATGTTCTAAGCCCCACTATGTCACATAGGATGACAGAATCAGAGAATATCCCGAGTTGGGAGAGACCTGTAATTTCTGAGAGGTAAGGCCCTGGTGCTGCATGGTCCCGCAGTGCTGTGATGCTGGTGGCAGAGTGATGGTGCTGTCCTCACCTCCTCCCTCCTCCTTTTCTGCCCAAAAAGCCAGCCCTGTATTCTCAGCCCAGAAAATCGGCACACTGGTGAGAGGTGGTGGACTTTGTCCCATGGCATTAACAGCAGTGCTGGGTACAGCACGTCACACTGCTGACAGAGCTGGGAGGAACTGCACACATGGTAATCACGGTGATCCCTCTAGATTTAAAGCATGCACAAAATCCAAGAGCCCGTGAATTTTGAAGCTTTGGAAGGGAGGTTAAGTGAATTGAGCCTGTCCCACTCACATGATACTCTTAGATGCAGTAGGAAAGAGTAAAGACCTCTTTGGAACATTCTGCTTTCTCCTCTTCCATGCAGATGACAGAAGGGTAAGGAAACACACTCCTGAGACAAGTCTTGCCCTGGTCCCATGCCGACTCCCAGTGTATCCCAAAGACCTGGTGCACTTTCAGTGCATGTCAACAGCAGAAAAGATTTTAAAAAGCAGACCTTCAAATGAGTACAGGTTTAGTTGTTTTCCCCGGTTGTTTGAGGTCACCCCCGCCCTGGTTAATAAAGATGTGATTAATGATTTTTGGCAAAGACAGTGCCTGAAAGAGCCAAGGCTTCAGGAAAAGCAAAACCAGTTTTCAGGTATTTTATTTAAGGTTCGTCTCAGAAACACACAAATACATTTCAAAGCATTCATAAAGCACACTGACAGCCCCTTCACCTCATCTCCACCCCCCCTGCAGACACGCTGCCATTCATAACCTGTGTAATTATTTTCCACCCATCTGAAAGAGAGCGCGTGGAACGGGTGGCCAGCCCAGAGCAGCGGAGTGGCAGCAATGGTTTTGGGACTGCTCTGCCCAGGCTGAGCAGTGCCTGAACCTCCTGTGTGAGGATCCTGAGTCCCCTTTAAAATAAGAGAAATCAAAAGTAATTGGAAATGTTTCCTCTGAGAGTGTTGGGCTCGCATTGTCAAGCCTTTATCTGTGATCAGGGAGGCTCAGAAGTGCAGATGGTTAAAAGATGGATGGCCAAGGCTGAAGTTTTCACAGCCAGACCTAAGGCACTGGAGTGGGGACCTGAGGTAAAGTAAAAAAAAATATCAGGATGTTGGGGAGAAGCACAACAGCAAATTTAACAACTGTAGCAGCACTGCCTCTGCTGAGCACCCCCTTCTCCCAGGCAGGTCCTAACTCATACAAATGCTTCATACGGCTTAGCATTCCCAATGAGTATTTTCCACCTTCACACTGGTAGGGTTTAGCCCGTGCCACAGGGGCCAGAAAGGATAGCTGAGAGAGATGGCTGCTTCTTCAGATGGGGACATAGTGGGCCAGAAATGCTGCCTGAAAGCTTGTGCACAGAAATCCCTGATGTGTACGGGCACAAGAGACAAGACCAAAGCAGAGATGCTCTGTTTGTGCAAGGGGACAGTGCCTGGCTTGGCATGGGAAGGGGGTGACCACAGCATGAAATGTGCTGCACTCATGCTGCACGCATCACTTGTCAGGACTGATGTTATTCCAGCTGCAGGAAGCTCTACTGGGGAGAGCCAGTTTGGAAGAACCTCAGCATTTTATAAACCCATTGAAAGAAATGAGTGAGTGCTCCAGTACAAGGTTGTCTACAAACCTGAAGAAAATCTTTGAAGTTAGCAAGATATTCAGAGCAAGGATGCAGAGAAATTTCCACTGCTAGGGAAGACATCAGGTTAGAAGGAGCCATGCTTGCCACTGGGGCTCCGGACTGGCCCAGTCTAGGCACATGGTGAACTGGCAGTACTGACAAGAAGATCCCCATCCATGTGCTGAAGCTTCCCCAAAATTGATGTGGGTGGCTCTAATTATAACCTTCATCTTACCTCCTCCCCTTCTTGCAAGTAGGAAGGAGGGAGCTTTCTTGTTACACTAGCTGCCTGCCCGTTACCAGGTCAAGATTGCTGGTGGGATAAGGACTTTCTATTTGTTTGTAGTACTGCTGTCCTACTTGGCAGCACACGCCTCATTCCTTCAACCCCACAAAGGGAAGAGCCCCGAGCAAAGCAGGTTTGTAGCTGGCTTAGCAACACGGCTGATCTGCATTCCTGTAAATTTCCAGGTTCAAGTGCAGTTTGTTCTTCTCTGTTGACAAGCCAAGTGGACATTGCAGTTTCCCTCATCCTGCTGAAGATCCCTTGGCAAGAGTGATGGAGAAGCAGAGACTCCAAAGCCAGGTGTGAGGCTAGCAAGGCAAGTAGCTCAGTCATAGAGAGGAGGCGGCCAAGAGCCGCACCATCCACCCACCTGCAGCCTTCCAAAGCAAGAGCGAGGCTTGCCCTTGAGGTTTGAGGTGAAGAGGTGAGTACAAGTATAGATCCACATCCCCAGGGCTAGCTTGATTTATTTGGCAGCCTGAACAGTCCATGCTTTCAGCCTTGGGTGTGACAGCTCTTTGGTTTTTTAACATGTACCTCGTTCTTGTGTTCCCGTTACTTTATCCCACATGGGGTTGGTGTTTCTTCATTGTTTTCTCCTGTGCATGACCAACATTAGCAGGAAGGAAATGTGAAAACTATAGAAACTGTTCTCTGTGCTGAAGGAAGGTGCCTCATATTCTTCTGAACCTGACCCCATTGTTCGCTGCTGCACCCACTGGCACATTCCCTGTCACACACTGCAAAGATCAGGGCATCCTCGCCCAACAGGCAATGGGCTCAAGCAGGATGGCAGGGCTGGCCCCATCCCCATTTGAGTCAGACCAACTTTCACCCCTGATTTGATTGAGTGACATCAGGCCCCTCGCTGCAATATATAAATAGAAGGATTTGATTTTGGTGCAGGTGGATATCAAGTAGTTCTGTTTTTTTTTTTTTTTTCCCTGCTGTTTTCATTAGTGAGGTGATTTGCGTTACAAGGAAAACTTGTTCTGAAGCTGTCATTATTTACCTGAAATGCATCTGCACTTTGAAGTAGGCTCTGAAAACACAAACAGAATGAAATTGCCCATAAAGCAGAGGTGGAGAGGCTTTTTCTGAGGTCGAGACTGTTGAGTTCCCTCTACATTGGAATGCAAAATGAGTGCCCTAAATTTAACACACACCAGGCTTTTTTTTTCATTTTTCTTTTCTTTTTTTTTTCTTTTTGCATTCATGACTTGAGAATGAATTCAGTCGTAAAAAGAAATGCAACTGACACATTTGGCATGCAAAGCAACCATTGTTTTTGCCAGGGGGTTCAAGTTCACGTGCGTATGTGTTTATCTGCAAAACAGCTCAAGAGCTTCATGGGAGACTTAAACAGTGGAAACACTGACTTTGGCTCTCCAGGAGAAGTCAGCATCCAGCTGAGGTCATCAGTCTCCCTTCGGATACTCAAGGTCTTGCCCTAAGGATCCACCTGGCCAGATGTTATCTAACATCACAGAACACTGCAAACCTAAGCCAGTAACTGAAATAATTTAACAACTAATGTTATGATAATATTTAAATCTGAATCATATATGTGAATCATTTGGGAAATCTTGGGATGAATGGGATCTTGCAGAGATGGATGTTTGCTTTCTACTCAACTTCTTCCCCAGGCACTGCTCTTTTCCCTGCAGTCTGGGCACAGGACTCCCATCAAAAAGTGAGGGATGAGTCAGTCTCCATGCCTGGCTTCAGTTCTGTGCAGCTTCCTGAAAACAAGCATTGAGTTATGCAGCGCAATTTTGAGCTGTTTTTTTTCTTTTCTTTTCTTTTTTCTTTAATTTGCCCACCAGATCCGGAACTGAAACCATCAATTCATTTCACTTGAAGTTCTGACTCTTGACTCAAATCAGCAATAGTTTCCTCAGCTAACACCAGGTTTCAGCCCACTGAATCAGTTGTTCAGGCTCCTCGGGGCCTGAAGGTACCTGTTCTGTGATGTGTGAGAGGTTTTTTGTTCAGAAAACAAAGTGAGAAGCTTCCCTAAACACTTACTCCACAACTTCAGGTCCCTTCTGGGAGACTCATTTACCCCACAGTTGTCTGCTGAGGTGAAAGAGAGAAGAACTGGCAAGGTCTACCTGAACGCATGATTTTCCACCCTAAGCCACACCAGCTGATGACTCCATAGTCTCCAGCCATTTCATTTTCAGTCTACTCTCTAGGCCATATTGCTACCCATCTCCACACACTGACTTATGTCTCTCTGATGGCTGCATTACTGAGAGCGCTGGACGGGGATGAGGACCTCAGGATGCTGCACATTGATCTCACTGTGCTGTATGAAATAGTGACAGTGCTGCCCAAGCTCCAGCAAAGCAAACTCTTAGTACCTATTCTCGTATCTTTCAGAGCCAAACCAAAGTCCATTGAGGTCAGCTGGGTTTTCACGTTGGTGACCATGAGTTTTGGATTCAGTTTTCTGAAATGAAAGTACTAGGAATATGCATGAAATTATTCAGTAGGAAATTTGTTTCAATTGTTCTCCTTTATGGCAAATGCTTTGGGAATGATTATGTGCTGTGTAAATAAACATGGCCTTCTGAATTTATTCAGGGTAATTCTGAGTGATCCCAAAGATCCTTTTTACTGTTAAGGCTACGCAAAGGGTCTTATTCCACACAGAAATTAATTTATAACCAATTTGCCTCTCCTTTGTTCAGCTAGAACCATAGGAAAACCTGAGTCTACAAAGCATTCTGTAGTTGTTAAGTTAGAGTGATAGAGTGAGTATTAGAGTGATAGGCAGTCGGGGTGATTCCCTAGAGTGGATGTAGCGATGTCTTCATTCAAGTATAATTTATCCCTCTTCTTATAAAGGAATAAGCCACAGATACATAAACACCACAATAGCCTTACAATTCCATGCACAGTAGGGAGGTTTTCTGCTTTCTCAACACACATGCACAGGCTTACAATGAATGCTGAGGCCCAGATCAGAGAGCATCTCTTTGCTTCCTACTGTGAGATGAGTTCAAAAGAAAGTAGTGGGATGGATCATTTGACTAAAAAAAATGTGAGTTGTGATGGCCTTGGCAAACTTCTCTTGCCTTCCATTTGCTGCAGTTTCATGCCATTTGCCACAAACTTTGAGGAGTTTCCTTCTGACTTCTCTGCCTAACATGAACTGCCTTAGAAGGGTCATCTTACAAAGAGTCTTCTCATCCCCAGAACCAACACAAGTTATTTGTAAAAAGTCACACACGTTGCTGGGGGCAAAGCAAATCAAGACCATACTGAGTTTGCTCCCAACAGAGGAAGGACTCCATTTCGTCTTCCCAGAGCCCTCATAGCCTCAATGCCTACATAGCTACTTCGGGACAGCTCCCACCCCACCTGAATCTCAGGGAGGGCAGATAAAAAATGCTCTTGTTCTCTGTCAGAGCATCCCCAGGGTCAGCACTGAGCCCCTTACTTTTGGAGGGCCTGTGTGTTGCTAGCACAAAGACTTATCAGCAAAATCACCCTCCCTGCACCTGAATGTACATGTATAGCTGGCTCCAGTCAGGAGGGCTCCACAGCACACAGTTAGGTAGGTGCCTATTCCACTTCCCAATAAAGAAATAGACATTTGCCATGTGAACCGTGGTGCTACTCAGTCAAAACAACTTGAAATTAAAGCACCATCTATTAACAGCAAGAGGGTTTTGTATGGTATAAATTACTTGGCAAATAATCCTGTACCTCAGATACATTTCAGAAAACTGTGACCTATTTCTGGATGACTTATCACACCCACGTGTGGCAAAATTCCTCCAATTAATCACTTGTGAGGAATGATTTCAATGTTTTTTATTATTATGATGATTACTATTATTATTATTATAACCTCCTTTGGCCACCTTAAGCGTTCTGAGACAAGATGAAAGTACTGGAACTTCTACTACCTCCTTGCAGAGCTGCTATTGCAGGAGTGAAAAAGAGAAGAATGGATCAGTTTTTAGTAAAACCCATGGTTTATGTAAAGCATCTGATTCAAAACCTATTTTTTGTGTAGCCTTTTCTTGCAAACTAAAATAGTAGGCGGCATTCAAACTAGACTTTGAGCCCAGTGAAAAGGAAACGCTGATGAAAATCACGACTCAAACACCCTTGCATCATTTAATTCTATTTGTTTTATTGGCAAGATACAACTCGGGCCCCGTTCTGTTGCTGTAGGAGGAAACTCAGTGGAGGGCAGGAGGCCAGCATCTGGCTTAGGCGCTGCTGGACCATAGTCAAACTCAGGAGGTGGAATTTGGACCAGACCAAAGTCCACAGGAACTTTGCCAACAGCTTTCTCAGGACTTGGTCTCACCTAAGTGAGGACATCAAGCACCGCCCTGCAGAATGGAGAACGCATTTGTTCTTAAAATGGGCATCTCTTGCACTGTTCAGGTTGTCCCAGCGTCAGCCCTGGTTCCATTGTTCATTCCAAGTAATGGAGAGCAGCTGTGCAATAGGTGTTGTCCACGTCACACTTCTCTGTATGTGGATGGTGGAGTTCCCCTCTCTTCAAACTGCACATGCAGAATTCATGACATCTTCCTTGGCTTCTCCATGGGTTTGCATCTCACTCATGTGGCTTTGGGGTCTTCTGAACAACATTTTGAACATTCCTGCCTGATTAACAGGCCCTCACCTGGGAGAAGCGAGGCTCTGAGTGATCTCTATGTGCAGTGAGCACACACACGCTTGTGCCCACAAAGCTGCTGTAGTGCATGCAGACTGCAGAAATCACCGTCCCGCTCTCATTTCTACGATCTCAAAGTAGCTTCCCATTTTCTATATATGAAAAAAAATATTTATAGGTGCCGGGGAAGTGGTGACACAAACTCAACCTAAAATGGCTTGCAGCAGAAGAGACAAAGTTCCTTTTGTGGCTGCTGGACAAACCCCGTTATTTGGTCTGGCTTTGCTCCTCACTGAGCTGTGTCACTCACTGTTGCCACCCTGTAACATGGTGACATCCCATCATGGGAGGATGGAGCCTGGCATCGAGGAGCCACAATAAAAAGCACCTCGCTCAGGAGACAAACACCTGAGAAGCTCCACAATAGTCATAAAAGATGCTCAGCCTGCAATGCCTGATGAAATATGGATCAGTGTAATTGTTTCTTATGCAGCCAAAGTATATCAAAAAGCAGCACAGAGACTCCAAGTATTGTATTACTGCTGCACACTTCAGCGGCTGCAGCTAACAGCTTATCTTTATTTCCATGCTGACAGTGCCAAGCGAGTTGATTTATTTTCTGTGCTGTCTTAAATATCAGAGAATATTCGCGTATCCCAGAATCTGAGGCACAGATACAGCAGATCAGCTAAACGTGTGCTTAGCTGAAGTGTTCTCTTTATTCACTCTGACTTGCCTGAGTGTGAGCCAGCATCCACCAAGGGTCTTTGCATGTGGCAGCAGTGATTTGCTGACGTGGCTCAGATAAGCCACAACTGCATTGATCGTTTCCTACTCTGCTTCTTCTGACGCCTTTGTTGGACTCTTAACAAATACTGCTCCCCATCAAGAAAGTTGTGTGATTAGCAGATTTAGACTGAAGATTGGTTTCATATTATTTGCCTTCTGGGTCTGAGGCTGTGCGGAGAACATGTTTTCGAACTTTTTTTTTTCAACCACAAGATTTAAAAACTTCATTTTTAACTCTTTCTGTTTCTTAAACTAAGCTGAGATTCTCATGTAATCACCTGCCTCCAGTAGCTGGGGCTTGGAAGACAGGACCAAACACAGCTAGAAGTGGAAACACTGAATGATCAGCCTTTCTCACATGAGTAGTCCCTTTGAAGGTTAAGGATCTATACTAAGAGCAAAGTTACGCAGAACCAGAACACGAAAAAAATATAAAATTACCCTCGAAATACCTTGTATAAACTTTGTTTTGTAGCTGGGGGAAATACCCTTTTTCCTAAACTAAACTTTTTTTCTTTTCTTTTGTAACAATACCTGCCTGGAGGCAGATGTTTGTCTTGTAAGCTCTACTGTTTTAAATCTTTCCTTAAGTGTTTCAGTAAATATTAAGAGAGCTTAAGGCAATAAAAGAACTTTATGAGTTTTTAAAAGAGCTTGCTCCTTTCCCTCCCACATTATGTTTAAAAAAATAAAATAAAATAAAGAAATCGCATAACCTACATCTTCATCTGCTCCAGTCTGAAGGTTTCTATTTATAGCTTTTGGTTATGAATGTTTTTTCCTATGAAAAGGTCAGACCTCGCACATATACAATGGTGGAAAGCCCTGCTTATTAAAAAGCAGGCAGATAGATTTGTTAAAAAGAAGTCATTTCATAATGCAGCTGCTGTGAGCAGAGCTTTAGCAGAAACATCCTCGCACTGCGTTATGAGAAAAACAGATAAAAGAGGTCTGTTTTGCGGCTGGGTAGTTTTTCCTTTCTCAGCCTCCATCCTCAGATACTCAGCAAGTTCTGTGCCTCTACTTACACGCTTTGTCTCACACCCACATGTGTGCCTGTGTACAACCCTCCACACACACATGCACACGTGCCCTTGGTCGGCACAGGACAACAGAATAACAGAGACCACAACCTCCTGTGCAATGGAAAACCAGTCAAAATCTCCCTCATTTGATGATGGTGAAAGAGAGAGGTCTTGGCTGCTTTATTCTAGCCCTGAGCAAGGAGCTTTGATGAGCTGAAGGACAACCACTTCACCCCAAAAGCTATTCCCTCCCTCCTTCTTCCTCTCTGAAGCACCATCATCACTCCCCACACCTGCAGCACCCTGGGTGGCTGGAAGCAGCACACACATCCTCACATTTCCTGAAGATCCCTGCTATTAGGGAAGGTCTCTACTGTACTTCATAAAATCATTTGCAAAAAGAAAACCATCACCACAACC